GTTGTGATCCACACAATCAAAGGCTTTTGCATAGTCAATAAAGCAGAAGTAGAACTCCCTAGCTTTCTCCATGATCCGGCATATGTTGGCAATTTGATCTCTAGTTCCTCTGCCTCTTCGAAATCCTGCCTGTACTTCTGGAAGTTCTCAATCCACATACTGCTGGAGTCTAGCTTGTAGGATTTTAAGCATAACTTTACTAGCATGTGAAATGAGTGCAAAGGTGTGATAGTTTGAACATTCTTTGGCATCGCCTTTCTTTGGAACTGGTATGTAAACTGACCTTTTCCAATCCTGTGGCCACTGTTGAGTTTTCCAAATTTGCTGGCAAATTGAGTGTAGCACTTTTACTGCATCGTCTTTTAAGATTTTGAATAGCTCAGCTGGAATACTGTCACCTCCACTAGCTTTGCTGTTGCTCAGATTTTCTAAGGCCCATTTCACTTCACATTCTAGGATGTCTGGTTCGAGGTCAATGACCATCTCATTGTGGTTATCTGGGATGTTAAGCTCATTCTTGTATAGTTCTTCTGTGTAATTTTGCCACCTCTTCTTAATCTCTTCTGTCTCTGTTAGATCCCTGCCATTTTGGTCCTTTATCATGCCCATCTTTGCATGAAACATTCTCTTCATATCTCCAATTTTCTTAAAGAAATCTCTGGTTCTCCCTATACTATTGTTTTCTTCTATTTCTTTGCACTGTTCATTTAAGAGGGCATTCTTATCTCTTCTAGCTATTATCTGGAAATCTGCATTCAATTGGGTGTATCTTTCTCTTTCTCCCTTGCCTTTCACTTCCCTTCTTTCCTCAGCTATTTGCAAAGCTTCCTCACATAGCCATTTTGCTTTCTTGCATTTCTTTTTCTTTGGGATGGTTTTAGTTGCTACCTCTTGTACAATGTTGCGAACCTCCTTCCATAGTTATTCAGGCACTCTGTCTATCAGATCTAATTCCTTAAATCTATTTGTCACTTCTACTGTATATTCATCAGGAATATGATTTGGTTCATACCTGAGTGGCCTAGTGCTTTTCCCTACTTTCTTCAATTTAAGCCTAAATTTTGCAACAAGAAACTCATGATCTGAGCCACAGTCAGCTCCTGGTCTTGTTTTTGCTAACTGTATAGAGAGCTTCTCCATCTTTGGCTGCAGAACACATAGTCAATTTGATTTCTGTGTTGACTGTCTGGTGATGTCCATGTGTAGAACCATCTCTTGGGTTGTTGGAAAAGAGTGTTTGCTTGACAAAATTCGTATTCTCTTGACAAAATTCTATCAGCCTGTGCCCTGCTTCATTTTGTACTCCAAGGCCAAACTTGCCTGTTATTCCAGTTATCTTTTGGCTTCCTACTTTAGCATTCCAATCCCCCATGATGATAAGGACATCATTTTTTGGTTTTGATTCTATAAGGTGCTGTAGGGCTTCATAGAACTGGTCAATTTCATCCTCTTCAGCACCAGTGATTGGGGCATAGACTTGGACTACTGTGATATTGAATGGTTTGCCTTGGATTCGCACTGACATCATTCTGTCATTTTGGGGATTGTATCCCAGTATTGCTTTTCCTACTCTTTTATTGACTATGAAGGCTACTCCATTTCTTCTGAGGGACTCTTGCCTGCAGTAGTATACCTGATGGTCCTCTGAATTAAATTCACCCATTCCATTTTAGTTTGCTGATTCCTAAGATGTTAATGTTTAGTCTTGTCTATTTATTATATAAATATAAAAATTGACTTGAAACTAATATGTGAAATAAAATAGTGCAATCCTGTGTTTTATTGTACATGCATGTGCATAAAGGCTGTATGATGGGATGGGTGCTCCACCTCATTAAAGCATGAAAGCAACATGCTTCTCTTTATCAACTACCTCTTATAACAGCAAATTTTCATTTTCAGACAGATTATTGCCTGCCTTGGCAAAATCTTCACTGATGTGGTCTTGGAGAAGTCAGAGACTTATTGGAGAATCAATTTTCTCCAAGATCATAGCATTTGAAGATATTGCCTAGATAGGTAGCAAAAATAGAAAACTAAGTTCAGAGAACTGCAACCCAACCTTGGGCTATTTTCTACAACTGCAATTCGTTTTCTCTCTGGGAGTGTTTGTGAAGGACCTTCAAAGTGTTGCTTTACATGAATCCTCACTGAAGAGAAGAATCTGTTCAAGTATTTGTTTAGTTGCTATTTCTATATGTATGCATCACTGTGTGAGTATCATTCTTACTATTGGAGGCTGTACAAAGTTCAGGTTTCTGAGTTTATGTAGAATCCAGAAAACTATGCTTTCATTTAATTATTCATTATGTTCTTAATTGCAACATACATTTTTCAACAATGTGACATTTAAATCAATTCTGTACAGACGGATCACATATTACTTAAATACCCAATTTACCATGCAGCCATTTACATAATGTCAGAGCTCTCTAACATAATTATTAAGTGCCTGAGAACATAGATTGTGAAATCTTAAAAAAATCAGTCCGATCAATTTTCCCACCTTGAAAGGTGAATTCTGGCTATCTTTTGGGGCCCTTTGTTGCCCTTCAAAACATAGGGCACTGTGAATGGTCATTTTCTATAGGTTTAAGGGGTTTTTTTTGTTTCTTTGTTATAAATTTCGTATAAATCAAATCACATATCACATTTGTCTTCTTAGGGCTTCTGTTCACATTTCTTACTTGAAAAAAATGCTATTTTCTAATCTATAATATTATGTTAATATGAAACTATAAAGATGGAGGGGGGTAATCTGATTTTTAGTTGATGGTTTGCAACAGAACAACTTGATTGATTTATCAGTTGTCCTGCCCATCATCTGGATTTCAGTATTATATTATAGGCTTCAAACTGAGATTATATTTCTTACTAATCCAGATTCTTATTAATTTAGTGAATGCTTTATGTTTTCCAGAAAAAAAACTTACTTTGTAATAACCTTAAAGAGAAAGAAATGAAATTTATTCACTTTTGAATAAGAGGACTAATAGTATATTCTAGTATAATTAATGCCATGACTGGATGCAGAATATGATATTACAGAAATATGCAATGAACTAGAAATGTTATAATGGTCATCCAAATTTTCACTGATGATCCTAAAGTAATAATAATATTGGCTGCAGTTTACCAAAATCTAGAGGAAATACATCCTTTTTGTTCTTTTTTATTCCTGGAAAAATATAACCAGCTGCATAAAAGGATTTCATGTTTATACAATACATTTTTGACAGCAAAATATTGAAAATTTGCTTACATTCTCAAATCACAGATGAAAGTGTATTTAGATGATTTGGCAAGGGGGGAACTATATGCTTGTCAAAGCATATGTTATATATTTTGAATTTGTGAGATCCTGACATGATTTGATCAAATATGAGGGACAGCAAAATTCTGTTGCACACCAAATGTATTGTGTTCACAGAATAATAGCGTTGGAAGGGATTTAGGAGGTTGAACCTTCTGCTCAAGTAGGAGATCCTGTACTATTCCAGACAAATGGATGTTCACCCTCTTCTTAAAAATCTACAGTAATGGAGCAACCACAACTTCTGGAGGCAAGCTATTCCACTGATAATTGTTTTCACTGTCATGAAATTTCCCCTTAATTCTAGGTTAGATCTTTCCTTGGTTACAAGTTGACCCCCTCTTCTCTATGGCAGCCCCTCAAATATTATAAGACTGCTATCATGTCACATCCTAGTTCTTCTCTTCATTAGGCTGCAACCATTCATTAGACTGCAACCGTTCATCATATGTTTTAGCCTCTGGCCTCCTAATCATCTTGGCTGCTCTTCTCTGCACTCTTTCTAGAGTCTCAACATATTTTTTTGCATTGTGATGATCAAAACTAGATGCCGTATTCCTAGTGTGGTCTTACCAAGCAGTATAAAGTAGTACTAACACTTCATGTGATCTTGATAATATCCCTCTGTTGATGCAGCCTAGAACTGCATTGGTTCTTTTGGCAGCTGTAGCACATTGTTGGCTGATACTTGTGGTTGTCCACTAGGACTCCTAGATCCCTCTCACAGTTACTGCTGTTGAGCCAGGTATCACTTATTCTATACCTGTGCATTTGGTCTTTCTTGCCTAAGTGCCTATTCTCACTACTGAATTGCATTTTGTTGGATAGGGCCCAAATCTGTGTTCAAATCTATTAAGATTCTTTTGTATCTTGACTGTCTTCTAAGGTGTTGGCTATTCCCCCCGGCTCAGTGTCATTTGCAAATCTGATGAGTTCCCCTTCTATCCTCTCATCTAAATTGTTTTTGAAGATGTTGAAGAGTTAAAAATTCCTTTTAAGGGTTTCATTGTTTTGGTGTGTAATTTGTATTACAAGAAAAGCTAATATTGCTATGTGGCTTGAGATTAACATAGCTTTTATCAAGCAAATTCTGTCTAGAAATATAGCTTCTGTCAATAAGTTGATATTATCCCATAATTGCTTGCTGGTGGGAATGTATTAGCTAGTTAAGCAATATATACATAATACAAAGAATAAAATATTATCTGACACTGTCTCTTTATCCGCACTTGTTCTTATGTATTGTATTTGATTTAAAGGCCCCTTTTTTATTTCTTATATTCAACATTTATGTATAGCATTGTTATATATTTAAATATATGTTGGAATATTCGTGTGCAGAAGAGTCATGTGGTAACTCAGTCAGCCAATGGCAAGAAAGTGCTACTGAGTCTGTGCAAAAAGGTATTGAGTTAGGAGCTGGATTTCCAGTCTCAGGTTTGTCTCTGTATCTCTCTGTAAGAAGTCTTCAATTGAGCTATGTTGCTGTAAAGAAGAATGTATGGTATTGTAAATATTTTTATATGAATATAAAGAAATTATTTTGAATCAGCTAAATGCAGTCAACTGTGAGAGCTTCTGATTTATTTTTTCACCAATAGAGAAATTAAAATTCTCTAACAATATATATGTTTGCTATGAGTATTTCTGAATCCTGAAAAAGGGGGGTGGGACAAAAAACCATTACCTTTGATGTGTACATATTAGTCAATAAATCAGCTTCTAGGGCTTTCATTTCCTCTTCTGAATCTGCAAGTTAAACAGAAACATATGTTTACCACTGTATTATAAATCATTAGCATTTTGGATTTCACATATAGCATTTAAAAATATCTCTTAAAGATAATTTAGGGTTAAGAACTGACTAAAATAAATGTTTGGCAAAAGCTGCTTTCTTTAATGTATGTTTGTTAATTTATGCCATTTCATTGGAAAAAAACATATCTAGTAATGAAAACAGTTTATTATTTGTCAATTGAAACATTTAAAGATCTGATCACCAATAGGAAAGTCATAGGATATGAAATTAAATTTAATTTCTAAATTAAGATACTTCTGCACTGACAGTATGTGCTGTACATATTTAAAAGGAGTTCTTATATTTTTATAGACTGAATAATTCCAAATATCCTTTCAATGGAAGCCAGTTAACATGTATCTTCTATGACATGGGTGTCAAACTCGCCACAACACATGATGTGTCATAATGTATCGCAACTTTTTTTGCATTGCTGGAACTAGGGTGGGCGCGGCCTCCATATGATGCTCATGAGCCAGCAGTTTGACACTCCTGTTCTATGGAGAATATGTAAGTTACAAAAATATTCATATATTTTACACTGATGTATTATTAACAATGGATACTGTACATATAGTATGAAAAGAGATTTAAAGTTGCAGTGAGTTTAATCGAATTTCCTGGTCATTGCCATGTTCAGGGTTAGAAGGACATAAAGAATGTTTTAATAAAAGAAGGATGATATGTTAAAAGGAAAACTATGTTTTATTCTAATTATCATCATCTAAACTCTATAGTTGAGTATAATTGTGAATGACAAAATAAAATCCTATGCAGATTGAAAATAAGTCCAGTTGATACAAATAGCTATACTCTTGTGATTTATTGCTGCTGCTGTTATTCCATGTATTTCAATAGACCCAAGTCATTAGTAACTTTAGTTGGATGGGCTCAGTAATGAATAGTATATTCCTAACCAATAAACAGCAAATGGTACTAGCTCACATACACAAACACACACACACACACACACAGAGAGAGAGAGAGAGAGAGAGAGAGAGAGAGAGAGAGAGAGAGAGAGAGAGAGAGAGAGAGAGAGAGAGAGGGAGGATATATATGATACAATATGATTAATATGTTGCTTTTATCTTGCTTCTCAAATTTACATCCTCAGTAAAGTACTGTGTAGTAAAAGAATGTTATAAAGTAGGGTCACTCTGTTGCAAGAAAACCAGTGGTAAAATCTGTCTCTTTAAAAAATATTAATGCACCTTAAATGCACTATAGTACAAATGGCTCACAAAAAGCATAAAACACTATATTTTATTAAAAAATAAAATGTTGCCAGGATAGTGGGAAGCCAGAAAAATAAAAGAAATAAAGTGAGAAGTAGGTGCTTGCATTTTAAAAAAGTATCTATAAGGGTGGAAGATGAATGAGAAATAATATACTTCATGGATCTATTTTTCTGGGTTATGCAGTGATCCAAATTTGAAGAATAAATTATGATATGGAATATATGAACATGCACATTCTGAACCAATAGGCATTGCCTTAAATCAATTCCATCACCCTCCCCCCAAGGACTATGTATGAGCCAAGAAAGAGAGAGAGCTCTTTAAGGAGTCACCAACAGGTGCAATGTGTTGTCCATGCATGCTCTGAAGCATATTTCCTCCTTTGAATCCAAATTACTGTATAGTCCTTATATTAAAACAAATCCTTCAAATGCTAATGACAAAGAATTCAGAACTCATGAGCTCAGGAAATAGGGCATGGGGATTAGGGGAACTTATCTGGACAGGATCCAGAAATGATATTATGAAAATATATTTCAAAAGAGTGAAGTGAAAACTATACACATAATGATAATACTACTGAGAAAAAGCTAAGCATTTTCATCAGACTGTTCTATAGTTCACATAATGACTAATTCTTATAATAAATGTCATCAAAATCAGGACTTCTCAGAAACTTAGTGAGATCATTGCTTCTCAGATATTCATGGATCACAACAAAGTTGTTAGCACTATTATTGCCATTAATAATAGTGAAACATTTTATTGATTTCATTTAATCTGATACTTTGGATCAATAAATTTTGAAGGAATTTATGCCTGGATTGTGTCCATTATGATCCAACTCAAGGAATCTCAATTTTTGTAATGTATATTACTGATTTATATTAATAGTCATTTCCCAATTTGCAAACAAAAAAAATGAAATGTTCTTCCAATAGCTCCTTTTATCATACTTGTGATGATGTAATTATATATTTATATGACTATATTAATCCTGCAGGGTTGTAATTAGAACATTATTAAAATAAAGCTTAGAAATTTAAAAAGCTGAAGTAGATATATTGCCTTCAACAAACACAGGCATTATTTGCCTATCAAAACAAAGATTAAGTACTATTGCTTTCTTATTGATTTAGACTGTTATGATGCCCAAATATTTGAAACTACACAGGAGTTTAGTAATAAGTTACAGCTAAATTTAAATTTTAAAAGTAGAATTATTTAATATATTGGATTAGAATAAATCAATTTGCAGGAAAAAAAATATTCAATTCTAAAATATGCTCTAGAAACAAAATTTAGCAGACATAACTTAGCAAAAAAAAAATACTGATTTATAAAGAATTTAATGGATTCATTACAACTGTACATTAAATTATGATGTTCATTCTTAAGAAGCCCAAATAAACAGCAAAAATGAGTGTATATGTCATAAACATATGAATCTCAAGAGTGTTGTGTAAACTTATAGATTTTATATTGCACTTGGAAAAGGTTAGATTTTAATCTATGGTTTTACTTTGAATAATTTTTGAAACAGATTACAAAGAGAAATATTTTTTTTTATATTTACCCATGTAGTAAGCTGTATTGCAATTATCCTGGCCATCTTCTCCTCTCTCTCACCTTCTGATCTTTCCTATTGCCCTCTCCTATTGATATGATTTATCACTTGTTGTTTGTATCTTATGATTATGACTGCATCTTATGATTTAAGATCTATAATTTATTACTTTTTTGTTTGCATGAACACTGAGAGCTTATGCGTTGGACAAAAATTTCTTGTGTGTGCAATCACACTTGGCCAATAAGGAATTCTATTCTATTCTATTCTATCCTATCCTATCCTATCCTATCCTATCCTATCCTATCCTATTCCCCTCATGTATTTGTATGTATATATGCTTATGGGGGAGGTGCGGGTGCATGTTATAGACTAATAGAAGTACATTTATTTATACCCATTTTGTTTAAAAGCAAATATCTAGTTCAATAATTATTGGTGTATAAAGAACAACTTTAGGAGGAGGAATGAGCTTTGTATTTGTATTACTATGCACTACAGGTGCATAGGGGGAAATATTCATTCCATTTCTTTCCCCTGCTAATTTATTTCTGGTGTGAATGGCAGACCTTGGAGTTTTGATCTGCAACAATATTAACCCCTACAAACCTCAGTCTACCCATTTTGACATGTAATTCAACTTGTTGTGATATGTAACAAACCTTGTGCACCCACATCTCCCAACATCTCTGGATTATGTTTATCAGTCTTCTGCCATGTAATGTATTTCATATTTGCTGGGTTACAACTTACAGAATACTAGGAATTGTATTTCCAACATGCTAGGAAAAACTGATCCATGAAAATCTATGATGAACTGTGAGCCTCTATTCCACAAACTCCAGCTGAAAAAGTCCAAGATGGGAGTTGGAAACTGTAATCCCTTGTAGCTAGACCACTCCATGCAAACCAAAGTCATAAATGCTAATGCTAGTTTTATTATAAAATAACAGGAACAGAAATTTGCAAATTTGAATGTCTCCTCTCCACCACCTTTATTTTGAAGAGAACCAAGGAGAGTTAAGTCTGAGATACTTTCTCAAATTACATTTCTGCCTCTTTTTATCTGATGTTTACCTTGGTTGCAAATCTTCCTCCTGCTCTTCAAGGCTGTTTCCACAGTCCAATACAGAATCTAAAAGTCTGGAGACTGGATGGATGGAATTTTCTCTACTCTGTGCTAATTTACAGGTGCATTTCAATAAGTCTGTAAATCTAGCCCCTGTCTTCCTCAAAGAACCTCTTCAGAAAGAAAATATGTAGCTGTTTAGGTACAATTCTGATAAATGAACCGGTTATAAACGCTTTATAGAAATCTGCATTTGTCTGTCACATTTTAATCCAACAGATTTTCTCTCAAAGCAATTATCCTAGAAGAACTGCTTTATATTTTAAGCTAACTTTTTGAAATTGACCAGACATTAGCCTCCCTGCATTGGACAACACAAACTCCTCCCATAGTAGCAACACTGTTGGATTAGCCCAAATCCTTCTCCCAATCGGAAGGGAAGCCCTGCTAGAGAGCGAGCGAGCGAGAGCACCTCGGAGCTTACCTGAGCCCAGGCTCCAGGAAGCGGAGGCCAACAGCATCGCGCACACCAGCTGCATCTTCACCATGCTTGCCACCCACGCTCTCCCTTTTCCCTCTATAAAGTGAAGTCCATATACAAAAAGGCAAGCTATCTGGGTGCGAGAGAGTCGCGCAGAAAAAGAGCTGCTGCCTTGAGCTGATTTTTAAAGAACTGGACCCTAAAGGGAGCTCTGGATGTCCCCTAAGTATATAAGCAAGCAGGGAGGGGTGATGTCACGAACGCGCAGCAGCCGCTCTCTTTTAACCCAGCGTCCGCCCGCCTGCTCCGTCCCCTCCTCTTCTTCGGAGCGAAACTGACGCGATTCCCCCATTAGTTGCGCTGCGCTTCACGCTTCCTGAAGCAGAAAGAAGGGACAAGGGTGTGTGAGACAGACGGCGCCAAAGGAAAGGTCTTATTAGTTGCGTCCGATTTTAAAGCCTTTCCCTCCAAATGGGAATATAGGATTTCTGACCCTTCCCTCCCCCCGCCTTGACTGCGGCCACACAACGCCATATAGCGGGCAGTATAGCTTGGTAATGGAAGTTGAAGTCCAGCACAATTGATGGATGTGTGGCTGGAAAAGGCTAGTGTAAAGAATCTAATGAGAGTAAGTTAAATGTCACCTGTGTATTTGTGTGCCCATCACAGGTCACCTGTATAAGTCATCTCGCTATTTCTATGATTCATGTAAATCAGGAAAAGAATTTAACAAAAACTTGAGAAATATGGTGTTTGTTTAACTAAAAGAAATATTTTGCAAGGTCATTCTTTTTTTTTTTTACTTATTTCAACTTATGCAAGAGACCAAACCAAAATGGCATTCAGAAGAAATGTTGGGACTGCAACTCTTAGAATTCACAGTCAGAGACCCTGAGGAAACATCTGGAAACCATCAGATTGGGGAAGAGGAACTTGAGACAAGGAAAAGAGATTCCTCCTCCTCCTCCTCCTCTTCCTTTTTCTTTTTGACCCTTGATACCCAACAATATTTTGCTGATTGCTACTTATAGATATAACTTATTTCGATTTTCCAAGACTAAATTCCAATAAGCATGGACTAAAGTCATCCTAAACACACTGTACAAAACAGAGAATTTAATAAGGAATTCAATTCAGATTATTGGTGGAAAGGCAGCTAAAACTCAAGTGTGCATCTTTGAAGATGCAACTCCAGGTCCTGGATGTGTCACATAGATGGTCTAATGCTGGATCAGTTCAGCTCCCATTCTTTCTGCTTTCTGAACAAAAATTGATCTTCCTTTTCATCCAGGGTGTTTAGATTATCCACTAATACTTTAATTATTTTAAATCAGCTTTTAACTTTTTATACTTGATTTTAGATTGGAAGTGCCTTTGAATATTGAATGAGTTAAAAAGCTGGATATAGACTAATTGATTAATGAATGAATACATATATTATCTAATTAGCTGAAGAGAGAAGCTTATAAGGGTATATGAATATACATTTATATACATTAATTATTTAAAACACTTAAAGGTCTTCCTTTGGATATAAATTTGTCATACATGGCAATGCTGAGCAATCATGCTTAAAATAGAATCAGTAGTTTTGGAATAAATGGAATAACCATTGAAAGTTGATGTTTTTGATGTCCCAAAATGCAGGACCATATAGATTGGTTTAAGAACTATGCTGTTTAAATTATTTGATGGTGAGATAATGTATGCTGCCCCACTTTAAATATAAACCCTATACATGTCCTTGTACAGCATTTAATGGGATAGTCTCTCAGGCAAGGACAGAAATTTAATAAGATTTAAAATTTATTCTGTAAAACAGACAATAAAGAACTTTATATGTGAAGTAAGTAGAAATTACATAAAATCCAAACAGCTTCATTAAAACAGAATTTAATGAATAGTTTAATTGTTTATTAATATTTGATAGCCTTCAATGGTAAATAAACATATCCCTGGTAGACAGATATTTGTAATAAAGAAGCATTTCCTTACTTCATAAATAAAGTTTATTTTCTATTTTTCTTCCATTAGGGGGCAGAATGGCAGTATGAGAACTGTGTCAGCTTTTCCCCTAGAAATAGTTTGCTGTCGAACCTACATGGGAAACAAGAAACAATGACTGATGGATCATTTATTCTGTAACATATGCTGATGAAATGTTTTTCATATCTATTTCTATATTTCTGGTAGCCTACATGTTTTTAAATTCCATGTAGCATTCAAATATAAATGATAGATGAGAAACATTCATGAGTTAAATTTCAGGAAAAAGATGACCAGAAAATACAATTTATTAAGATTAAACAGAATAATGTTTTGTAGTAGAATTTCCCTACTTCCCCACCCCAAAGAATCTGGAGATAGAACAATGATTAAAGGTTCTTGAATTCAGTGGATTTTATCTCTGAATAGATTCATAAGGATGGATTGTGTTGTAAAGGTATCATAGAGAATCACATTATGTTAGAGATTATCTTCAAGAAGATCCGGCTAATCTTAAAGCAGGAAAAGAATCTGATTATCCTTTGAAGATAATATTATTTCTACAAAAGGCATAAAGAAAAGGGAGGGAGGGATACAGGATATCAAAACCAGGCCATAATCTGTTGGATTATGGCCTGCAATTTATCTTCTGTGAGCTGCAAAAAGCTTTCAGTGATACTATATTGCCAAAAGGGATGGGGCCAAACTTGGCAAATGTTCCTTTGATTTTGAGTCTGGGGTTAAAGGTCGGAATGGAAGCCTTGTGTTCCCATTACCATTCTTAAAACAGCTCTGAACACAATGCTCTGTGCAAAATATGGCATTTTGTCATGAATGAAAACAAATATACTTGTCCCAGGATAATGTTGCAGGATCAACATTTTTAGTCAGTCACTCAGACCAGAGGTTTAGTCTTCTGACTCTTGGACTCCTGGTGGAGTCCATCCTCAGGGAACTTCTCTCTACCAGAATGGTATTTTGTCACCACATTTTGTTGGCATACTCTAGGGAATGTTTCAGAGGTGCAGATGTGGTGCTGGGAGAAGGCATCTCTTGAGCCACAGGTTGCCATTCTGTGGTCTGTTTAGTTTTTCCTCTAAAGGGGTGGGATGGTATCTGCACATTCACATGAAAAAGATCACATGCTTAGAAAGCTGCATGCATGCGAGAGGCCAATGAGAAGAAAAAAGATGAGATTGCATCCATGGTGTCACCCATCAATGGTTTAGATACTTCCCATTCTTGTTCTTGTCAAATAAAAAAGATAAGGGGAATGCTGCATAAAAGCCTCATCAAGAAATTCTACTACTCTGATGACACATTAAAGAGATAATAAGGGCTGAAAGTGCCCTTATTTGGGAGAAGAATAGCTAACAGTCAAATGTAATTACAAGAAATGGTGTCACACCACCTTAGCAAATCTGTAACTATTTATTGCTATAACTTTCATGAGATTTTCACGAACAGCTCCAAGAAAAAGGCATTGAAACAGTCCTGAACGGTGGCCAAGAACTAAGTGACTGTAAGAAGGGCCTCCTGACTCAGAAAAAGGTTAAAAAAAAGAAAGTCACCCAAGAAGGAGCTATATATGTCTCTAACTACAGCTGCCTGAGATTATGCAATGGTTCAGCATGATGGTTATTCATGATTTATCCAGAACAAAAAATGGAGAACACCTATTTCACTTGGTTTCTGAATCCACAATCACTCAGTCTAGTTGGAATTGATCCTAGGTCCATTGCTTCCCATCTGAAATATAACATTCTCCATGCATCAACACAGAGGCTCAACTGGTCCAGAGTCAAATGCAAAACTGAGTATTATTCATATATAGATGATATCTGACTCCGTACCAAGAGACAACCTCCTCCAGAGGCTTCATGTAGATATTATGAAGGATGAGGGATTTGAGTCCTGTGCTTCTTTGCAATGGAATCTCTCTGCTGCCAGCTGGAGGTAAACTACAATGGTCCTATATTTCCAAAGATGTTCTAAAAGGTAGTTGTTGAATGTAGTTGAAATGTTGAAGGTAGTTGAAATATCAAGCAAGAAGGTCACACCAGTCCTATCCCAGGTCTACCACAGCTCACCTGTAAGAACAATACTACTTCAGATTCATAGCTAGATCTGAAACAAGATTGAAAATGGTCTAAATCCATTCATCTCTAGTATGTTCTACAGCTACAGGGTCACTACCTTCTCCACAATCTCATGGGTCTATAACAGGTGATTCAAGTAATGGTACTTTATGGAAGGCATGTACCACTGCCTGTTTTAAGGCTGGAGACACCATCCCCTATCCCAATAATGTATTCACTACCACTCTGATCCATCCTCCTATTATATTTCCACCAGATGATAAGAACTAGAATCCAATTCACAGTTGGTAAGGCTAATGTCACCAAGGAAGTTGCTGTAATACTATACAAGAATGACCTTGGGAGACAGGGTGAAAAGCTACAGAGAGTCAAAGGGACAGTCAGACCTAAGACAGCTTAACTTGCAAAGGGAATGTGGTCATGGTAAACACATTAGAAGGAACCCTCCCTAAGTTTCTTGGACTGTAAAGGTGACAGGGGAGAAGACTTTCAAGTTAATGTAGCCTTACAATAAGGTATAATAAAGTAGCTCATCAGTCATGCTTCCTGTCTGGACTACCTCATAAGGCTGACAGCAGTGTAGTTCCTCAGGATCAACAAGCTGAAAGTCATCCCATATAATCTCAAAATGTGTAGTCTCTCATACTTCTATCAAACTTGTACAGCTGGCCTCCAATTCTGAGTAAATGAATGATTTGATCCTCAAAATGACAAACAAACGTCTTACAGAACAAATTCTCTTCTGGCCCATCAAAGAGTACTTTGAAAAGATACACCAAGCAGCAATTCGCAAATGTAATAAAAACAGAAAAATGCTGCTGTTTTGGTGCTCTTACTGCCACTGAGTTCCTACTTGAGATAGATTGGGTTTACTTATTATTTTTTACCAGGATTGCTTTTTTTTTCCAGCGTCCATAGCTCTTCAGTAAACTAAGGATCTTCCCTGAATCAGTGTTATTTTAGTGAGAGATTGCATTCCAGTGACAGACCAAAGCCTTGGTTGAAGTACCCATCAGGACCCTGGATATCAAATGGAGCCATTAGATTTCTTTGGCATATTAACTAAATAGGTCTTCTTCCCAGAGGCTGCTGTGACTGCAAAGATCCATAGCAACCAGAGAGCAATCTGAACTTTAGAAGGATAGACATTAATTTCCACCACACTGAGATAATATCTCATTTGTTCTGAGACAAAATCCAGATTCTATAATTCTAAGTAAAACTTTTGTTTGTTTGTTTGTTTGTGCTTGCTGTAATGTCATGTGGCATTTCCAGAACTAACAGAA